AGTCGTTTACTGAGACCTCATTGGCCTTCCCCAGGTGAGAGAATCTATCACGCAGAAATAGCCTCCGTCCATTAGGGTTAATACTACCTGGTACTAGTATTAATACATTGTACTATGTAGTACTTCTACTACGTATGGTGCACGTCATCTAAAAACTTCCAACTGGCCAAATCGAGGAGTGGAGGTTTTATTATTTAACGTACAATTAATGTAGTTAAACCCAAAAAACAAATACGTTAAATACCGATTTCATGCGTTTTATCACTGCAGTGGGAGGTTAAAGGTCCCAATGCTGCCTCCGGATATTATATACGGATAAGAGTCATATACAAAAATCAAGATACATCTCAGCGGCCACCCCTATGGCCAAATATCCAAGCGCCCATGTAAAATACCGCTAGGTTAAATATCTATTTCTGGACCAATTCAACACCAAATTTGAATCTGAGACGTAGAATTTCTTCATTACATTGAGATCTGTCGATTCTACGTCTCAATTTGCTGAAATTTTGAGTAATGAATATGAAATAGATTTCAGACATTTTTGTGAAAAGTTGGTAGTTTATAGATGACGTGCACCATACTGGCTCATACGTTTTACCCCAAAATACTGTGGACTACTTTTGTGCTAAAACGCCAAACTCCATCGATCGATAATTCTTTGAATCATTTTGCATGTGAAAAAACAGTGTCCTGTGGACACTGTAAGTACCGTATACCTTGACAGGTTGTATCCGGAATCCGGATACGAAGGTGGCCGCGCGTTTGTTTACCTTTGACGATGGTCTGGTTCGATGGCGTCCAGATTCCTGGCCTCTTCGAAGGCAAGTACATGTCGTACGCTGTCCTCATCGTCGTCGTTCTGTGTGTGATCAAGTTCGCGTTGAATGAGATCAGGTACGTCCTACAATCCTTCTTCTCGCTGCAACGATGCGACTTACACCTGCATCGCCTCCACAGCCCAACGCCCCGCAAATCCCGCGGCAAACAAGCCTCCGCCATCGATCCCACGGCATTATACCCATATGGCGTGTCGGAAATGCAGGTTTGTCCTTCTTAGTACCTTCGCCTCTACTTCATGGTCGTCTACGTGTCCAGGGCAAGAGGCCATACATGGAAGACCGCCACACGGTGGTGGGGACGTTGAACGGCGACCCATCTTCGTCCTTTTACGGAGTTTTCGATGGACATGGCGGCGACGGCGCTTCCGAGTACCTCTCTTTCTCTATCTTCCTCTTCATCGTGTCATTAGGTACTGCGTCGCGTCACTGTGCTCAAACGTCATCACTGATCCTGCGTTCGCCCACGATCCAAAGCTCGCGCTCTCCCGAGGATTTGTCAAAACAGACAAAGATGTAGGAATGATTGTTTTATCTTCGTTATTTCGTTCGTTTTTTTTCACGCCTCGCGCGCGTTTTTGAATTTCGTTTGAATTTCGTGGTCATTTTCACATAGTACATCCAACTCGCAGACCGGTACAACAAGGACGACGGCACGACCGCCATTGCCGTCGTGGTGCGCGGGGATACCATCTACGTGGCGAATGGTAGGACGTCTCCGTCCACGAAGGATCGCCTGATGACCACATGATGCAGTGGGGGATTCTCGCGCTGTGCTCATCAAAAAGAGTGGGGACGCTGTCCCTCTGTCTTCGGATCATAAGGTACCATCCCGTGTATCGTTCGGGTGTGGAAACCAAGGTGTCGCTGATGCATGGTAGCCGAATCGACCAGATGAGCGAGAGCGAGTGACCAACATGGGCGGCCACGTGATTTTCTGGGGTGTGTGGCGCGTGGAAGGCATCCTTGCAGTGTCTCGGTAACCGAATGTATATGGCCATGTTGATGGAGATGGGTGTAGGGCCATTGGAGACCGTATGCTCAAGCCATACGTGATCGCGGAGCCGGAGCTCATCGAAACCCAACGTACCGAAGACGACCTGTGCCTTGTCCTTGCGAGCGATGGGGTGTGGTAAGCCGTCGATCTTGGCATATCGCATGACGCGATCCTTGTATCTCTCATGTCGTTGCAGGGATGTGCTTTCGAATGCTGATGTTGCCCGTCTCGTACTTCAATCTGAAACGCCCCAAGTACAGTACTCCAGATCCTTCTACTTCTTTTTTTTCGATATTGTTCTGCGAAAAAACATGATTTTATTCTCATTCGAATCGAAACTTCTTAGTTGGCCGCAAAAACTATCATGGAATACTCGTACCAGCGCGGCAGTCAAGACAACATTTGCGCGCTGGTAGTGGACTTGACCCGCGGAGGCAACCACGCCGGGACCAAGCGACCCCCCGGCGACTCGTCGTCCGAGGCTCAGCAATTCCCGACACTTCCTGCCTCGTCGAGCGCATCGCGAGGACTCGCGGCCGTCTCGGACAATGACGACGACGACATTGCCAACACCACCGACGTTGACAAAGACGTGCCGTCGGTGGAACTGGATTAGACGACACGACATGTACATGTTAGAGATGCAAGAGAACGATATAAGAACAAGCGATAGTTGTTATGTTGTGTCGGTGGGCAGCAAGTGCCGCGGCTTGAACTGCGCAGGCACGACAATTCCTTGGGTCGCAATGGCTTCCGTGCTGAAGCGGAGTTCCTTGACGCCTCCCTGCTCCTTGGTCCATTTCTGCCTGTACGCTTCTAGATCAGGGCCAGTCATCGTCGCGGTCTTGAGGTCCCGCGGATGGAAGTCGCACGTTTTGGACGCCGGCACCCACGTCGACGGCGCATGCAGCGTATCCGGGCCCACGAGGTTCGTGTAGTCGTAGCGCGGGTTGAGGTCGTTCTGCAGCGCCGGTCCAAAGGCCGGCTTGACTGCCCCACCGGACTGCTGCAGCTGCGTCGATGTCGTGTACATGGACGACGTGAATCCCTGCGAACGGACGACGCCAGGCCGGTATGCTTCCTCGACAAAGTTGCCGATCAGGGTTCCGCATTCATACGACCGCTTCCCCCCGCGGAGGATGTTGGATCCCCCGCCAGAATGCTTGTTTTGCTTGGACATATGTGGAAATGGTCATCTCATGCTGCAGCGTCCAAAATGGCGGCGCCTGTCGCCGTTGGCGGTATTTTTGGACTGGTTCACACTAATTCCAGTCTATTGTGTATGATACTATAATACTACGACTACTACGTACTACTAGTAGTATTATAGTATTGTGTTTTCTATTATAATACAAACATGGAGATATTTATAATATTTCTTGAGTAGGAGAGAAATTAAAATACAGATATATTTATATGATGACGTGGCAGGGTATTCAATCGAAAATAGTGTATGTTGGCGAATACCTTGATCTTTGTATATGAAGAATCGTCAGGCCAACCATTCGGAATATAGTGTGATCGTATTCAACCTTGGATTTTGTATGGTCAAGTAAAACCCGATGGTGGTGTATTCCGTTCACTTCCAAACGCACATATTGCTTCAACCATGATCAACCTCTCGTTCCCGCAAGTGATCGTCGTGCCGCCGCTCCTCATCATCTTGGGTGCGGTGACTCTTCTCAACTTTAAGAACCTCTTCCTCGCGATCACCAACTGTAAGCCCGCTCCCTCGTATCTATCTCCGTGCATGCGTCCCGTCACACTCGACACGTAGATGCGACTGCTCGGACTTCCAACGAAATCGTCAAGACCGTCAAACCAGGTACCCTGATCTACGTCCCTGTTCACATGAATCATCAACGCTGATGCATCCCGTGGGTAGCCTTGGTGTACGTGAAGAACTTCCTCGAAGCCGTGGTCGGGAAAGCGTCGTCGTTTTCGTTCAAGTTGGAGCACATCCTCCTCGTGGCGATCATCTTTGCGTTGTTTGCGGTCGCGAATGAGATTTCTATCGGCAACGACTTGAAGGAGAAGGAACTCAAGCTTCTGCGCGCCCAAGCCAAGGCGAACGACAACAAGAAGAAGGACTAGTCGATGGATGATGTGTCGACGCTGCCAGGTCTCTGCCGTTGTGCGGTGCTGTGCATGTCCCACGACCTACTGCCGTCATACTACGTGTAACTATTAAATACTCACCAGCAAAGATCGCGTTGTTGGCCATTACACTGCGATGAACTGGTCACTACGAAATATCGCTCCAGCCTCTTCGTCTTGATATGTTGACTTTGGAAGGTGAGATCCAGAAAGAGGATGCTGCTATGTGCACTTTGCCATGTCAGCATAGCCAAACGGCAAACTCCAAGGCGGTAAATTGGGTGGTCAATGTTGAAGTTGCAAGTCGAAATTTGAATGCAAACAATATTAATACTTCCAAGTAGTATTAATATCAGTCTCCCTTCCAAATGGCCACGAGACCCTTCCTTCTTGTTTAGCTTGATGGACATGCGACTCTTGTACGACGTCCAGATGCCCGACCCCGAAGTTCGTACAATTGTAAACTCGGTGTTGTGCACAACTGGCCTGCCAAATTGTCAATATGAACCTAGCTATTACTACTGGAATACCTCTTTTGATTCAATGCAAATAGGCATGTGACCAGCTGAGGTCAAGGCCAAATAGCCAAGTTAACCACCACCACTACATGCTTCAATATATAAAGTTAAGGCCATTTTTGTTCGAACTAATTCACGAGCTTGTTCGTTGCACGAGTCCCACGGTTACAACTGCCACGGCTGCGGCGGCCACCGACCAGCCAAAATACGTCGCCCACTGGCTTCTTGTATTGGCATCCGCCGCCAGCCTCGCAAATGGACACCCCGATACGTTTGAACTACTAGTACTAGTACTAGCTGCTTCGCCCGCGAGCCTTGCAAACGGACATCCTGACGAGGCCTGACTTGTACTAGTAGAAGTAGTCGTCGTCGTCGTCCTAGTAGTACTAGTGGTGATAGTGGCGGCTCGGTACACTCCTCGCAACTCATCCAAGTCTTGGAACAAGGCCATGTTGAGCTCGAACGCGACGTTGGCTTCTTCGACCATGAGCTTGGTTTCCGCGGAATCCACCATGGCGGCATCCAGTGCGCGGCGATACCCGTCCTTGAACGCCTTGTGGGACGACTCGATCCTTTTGAAGTCGTAAAACGCTGTGCCCAGCCCATGCGCCAAGTTCATGGCTCGAATTGCATGCCGTTTGAGGATCTGGCCGCCGCTCAAATCGCCCAAGTACCTCGTGTAAGCATGGGCTACAAGGAGCGACGGATGGGTCGACCCAATATGCTCAAGGCGTGCTACGTACGCGGCAGTGGCCGGTGTTTTCGAAGGCATTACTTCCTTCCAGTTGGAGCCGTAATAGAACGACAAGTCCTGCGCCAACGACGGCAAACGTTCGAGTTCTAGGGGGAAGTGAAGCGGAACCACGACAGGGTTGTCGCTGGCTGCAGCCCGTCGCAGCTGGAGCTCCAACTCTTCGTACACATAGTACAGCATGCACACCATCACGCGATATACGTCTTGTGTAATGCGACCATGCAGAAAGTCCGTCACGAACGGCACCGACTCGGCGGCGGCGTGCGCGGCTTGAGTTCCTTCCTTGAGATCTCTGGCCAAATGGCCACGTTCAGCAGGCACCATGGGTGACGCCAATGACGATGGCGACGAGGTCAAGGAGCTCGATACGTTGTGAGGAGGCATATTGAAGAATGACTTGGTGCATCATACATATACTTCGAAGTATGGGCTGCATACGACGCGTTCAAAGCAGCGCGTATTCGGGGTCCGACTTGTTAGTAGGTGGCGTGGCGGAGTGAGCCAATCAAAAACGCTGGAATGATTTGATTGGTGGATGAAAGGTCCCAACGGATTTTGATTGGGCAGAGTCGACTGCGATTTGACAGGCACGATCGTCCTCAACAGTATTGTCGCGGATTGGAATCGAGAAATTCCCCAGGTTTTGTGTGTCCAGGCAAGGTTGGTGATGTTTATCGGAATTGACGATTGTGTGAGAAGAAGAATATCACCATTTCACTTGAGAATCTCAAGTGATATGGTGAGATGGTTAATTGAGTTTGGATTATCATGGTGATATGGTTTTAAAAGCCTTCCAGTGGGAACTTTCAACTCGTTGCCTTCAATAGGTTTACTTACATGCGTGCACTTTGCATCCCATTCGAGTGGGGTTTTTTGGCCTCGGTATTTCGATTGGATCGGACAACATGACAAAAATTAGCCAATCACAAGCCAAATGCTGGGCGTTTCATTTTCCAGCCAATCCAAGGCAATAATTCAATAGAGAGCATGTCCGAGTCCAACCTGTTGGCAGTACCGAGCGAAGCGGCCGTGGTGGATCGGCTGATCGCCCACTGCGATGGCTGTACGTGAATATATACATGAAGTATATCTACTTGGAGAAACCCAAACACTCTCTCATTCATCATTCCACTTTAGACGACGTTCGCCGCCAATTTGAGCAGTTTGCAGCCATGTTCGTACGGTTGGCTCAGTCTGTTGGTGTATTAATCCTCTCGCCTGCGCATTTTTACGCTAGCCACGCAGACTTGTTTAGTGATTTTGACGTTGGCGACGAGCACTCACACGACAGACACGCGTTGTTCCAGGTATATACATATATATATGTCGTTTTTAAGTATAAACCAATGATTTGGGTATGTGAGGTGGCAGTGGGGTTTTGATCGGGAGGACGATGAAACTCGTTCTGAATATGCATGTTTGATTGCACTCGTCGTAGGCATATGAAGCCATGTTTGAAAGCATCCTGAACGAATTTTTAACGCGCGAGCAGGTATATATACCGTCAACAGTGCCGCGTCGACTGGAGACACATGCTACCAATGTGAGGCTTGCAAACGTCCTTGGTGATGTTGGTAGGTATCCCCTGCCGACTTCTACCACCAGATGACATCGCTTCAAAATGATCTTGACTGCCCCAACGCCGCTCTCAACTTGGCCATGGTGCTGTCGTCGGCCCTCAACTTCGACGCTTTTGGGTTGCTCATGCAACGAGAAGCAATCGCCCAACAGCAAGCGTCCAAAGAAGCCGACGACATGGGTTTATTCGGGTCGTAGTAGCCATGTCATTATTCTCCATCCAATACAACGTACTTGGTGAATGTCTTCAACTGCCAACACGCCAACAGTGGCAATGCGTACATTGACGACCCCAAATGAATATATCTATAGTACCCGTAGCTTGTGACTGGAGGTCACATGCATGACACAAGATGTAGTCCCGACTATAACAATTGTGGCTTGAGTAGTACATTCGGGAATAGCTCCATGTGTGTTGTTGCCAGCAAAGCAAGCCCTCCCCCCACCATTCATCTTAGCCAACTACCGTTTACGATGCATGCATGGAATCCCACCCCCCACTACTAGTACCTAGTACAGTGTATCAGCCTCAAGCCGACACCACTGGAATCGTCCAACACATAAACCGTACGACCAAGCCGACCTCATTCCCCCCCTTCATCCAACAAAAGAGGTTACAGTTATATTAAAAACCCGTCGCATCTTCGTGGCTGCTTGTCCTGACCACGAGGGTAGTGCATAAACTCCAATACGACCGCCGCCGAGTCCTTCGACGCCACAAGGGCCTTCAGTTGGCCTCGCTGGACCTTTCCACACGCCGACAAGGGCATCGCGTTGGGTCGTAAGAGGATGACCTTGGCCACATGCAGCTCGTGATGCTTTATCACGCACTGAATGACGCTGTTGCAGAGACTGTGTGCCACCGCGGCTCCGTCTCTTAACCGCTGGACGTCTGCCGAAGTTTCCACAGCCGCGATGGCCACGCCGTCGTCGCCGTACACGCACACTCGGGCGACAAGCACACTGCATTCCAGCACGGAAGTTTCCACGAGGTGCGAGGCCAGCCATCGATCGGGCAGCTGCAGCACGTCCGCGCTCCGTCCAATCACGTAGAGTTCGCCTTGGAACCACGCGCCTAGATCACCGGTGCGGATATATGTGACATCGATGGCTGCCTTGTCAGATGTAGAGAAAACGGTAGACTGGCGACGAGCACATGTCATACTTGGACGCCCCCAACTGCTGCTGCTTCGACGGACACTGCTACTGCTGCTGCTACTGCTACTGCTACTGCGGCTATGCCGGTGGTGGTGGCCAGTGGAAGATAGTTGCAACGTGCCGGGCATCCACTTGTAATCATGCGACGACGACGATGACGACGGGTGGTTCAAATACCCCTGCGACACGGTACGGCCTGCGACCCATACTTCCCCCACCAGACCGTCAGGCATTTGCACGCACGAGATGGGATCGACCACGACCACGTATGTGTTAAGGAGGGGTCGCCCCGACGACGTCAGGTGCATCACATCGTTCGAGTCGCCGTCGTCCTCAGCTGAAGGACGGGAATGGTAATCCACATGCAGCAACGGTTCCAGTTGATGGCACTGCTCAAACACCTGACGACTCACCGTGAGCACACGCGGCGGGACGTTCTGAGTCTGATTCCCCCGAGTCTGATTCTGAGTCGACGTGACTGTGTGCGTTGCTTCCACCAACGAGTACCCACATGACACTTGAGCCGGACGCAAGTGCCATGCCCGTACAAACGCAGCCAATGTCGACGGAAGCAGCGGACCACCGGTGCACGCCACCGTGACGAGACTCGACAGGTTCAATGGCTGGGCTGACAAACGGGTGGCTGGCGTGGCTCGGTCTTGGCACCTCGTAGCCAATGAAAACGCGCGGGGCGGGGCAAATGTGTACACTGCTTGCTCAGTTGATACCACGGCCATCCATCGCAGGGGGTCGGCGAGCCAGTCTGTGACCAGCACACTACGGCAGCCGTAGAGCACTGGGACCACCACCGACTGAACCAACGCACTGGCTACATGCAGCGGAAGGATGCCAACTAGTGTGTCGGTGGATTCGAGCCAGCCGCAGGAGCTGGCGGCGGCGGCAGCCAAGTTGGCCTGAGTTAGCTGCACGGGTTTCCCGCCTAGCCCAGACCCAGACGTGCCAGCAGTGTACACCACACATGCCACGGTGGCGGAGTATGGAGTTGTCATGGGAGCTTTTCCAGCACCCGCCTGAGCGTCGAGGTGGTGGAGGTCGGTTGGTTTCGAAGGTGTGATGACTGTGCGGTCGTGGGTGAGCCATGTGACTCGACTGGCGGCGGCAGCCGCCGCATCGTTCGTGGCAGATGAAGTTTGCGATAATCGTCGTTCCTTCTGGAACAGCTTTGGCAAATGCAGCGCGTCCTTGACCTTGTCGAGCTTTCGCTGCCGAACAAACGCCGACGTGGTCAACCCCAACACGGCATGGGTGTCGCGAAGCAAGCGGTGCAAACTCTTGAGTTCGTCGACTACCACGGCGACGGCTCCGGCATACAGACAGCCCCAGAAGGCAGCAACGAGGTCGTGGGACGTGTTACCCTCGGGAGGGTACCACAACAGCACGCAGTCTCCGCGATTAAACGCTGGTCGGTCAATGCCTTTAGGAGCTCTGGTCAGCGTCGCTGCGATGCGACGAGCCGATGCATCCAACGATGCAAATGTAATGTCCACGTTGGATGATGTCGATGATGATGTGAACGAGTACACGACCTTCGATGGGGTCGCGACGGCGCGGCGGTGAAGGACAGATGTCAGCAGCATCCCCTCGTCGATGCTGCTGGGTCGTCCTTCTTCGATGGCTGCGATAGACGTCATGGACATCTGTGGTGTTGACCGCGGTCGGTCGGCCTCTGCTAAGTTGACAAAATATGCAGGTCTATCTATGATTGGCCATAACGAAATACTGTCGTATGATTGGTCGATTCAATTATTGTACATCACTGTATCATCAAACGTTTCCTGTTAATTTCAGTTTTTTTATCACTATGCTTCTGCTTAAACGGTATAAAACATTGAGTCCCCATTCTACATACTAACTTTACTTCAAGTACGTACGTCCTATGAATAGTACGTAGAGTGAATTCTACATACTAGTATGTATGTACTACTTCGAAGTACTATATAGCGTGGGGAGTAGTAATACAGTGGATGGAAGGGCCTCAACAGTGGGACTAGGGGTTGAGAAGCGAGCTGCGTCCTGCGCTCGTTTGGAGAGAAAGTCGGCGAGTTGGTTGCCGTCACGCGGGCGATGGACCCACATACAGTGGAAGCCAGCCGCAAACGTCCGTGCCGGTCGATAAAGGTTGCGGAGGCCTGCGTGACCGACTCGGTAGAGTCCACGCATGTGGTGGATGATGAGCTCACTGTCGCCGTATATGGTGAGATGAGAGTAAGCCTCGGATTAAACCAACGTATTCGGTGATATTATTGTTGGTGGTTGATCAGGTATGTACGTAGTACGCCGTGTAGGTGCTGTGCGAGGGTTCGCCTTGGGCAGGGATGGAAAAAACCTACCATGACCATTTTGAGTTTTGCTACTTTTATTCGATTAAATATAAAAACAAGAGCACAGTTTTTGTTGGATTGATTAGTTATCACTGTTTTCGTCGTTGCACCTACTTTCAGAGTTACTCTGAAAGCAGGAGTATTGTGCAACATACTGATGTACTACTGTACCTAGTAATACAGAATTCGTAAGGTGAAACAGTAGGTTCTATATCCCAAGGTGAGCCGAGCCACCTTACTAATTCCCTAGTATTACAGAATTCGTAAGGTGGAACAGCAGGTTTTATTGGCTCGCAAGGTGAGCCGAGCCACCTTACGAATTCCATAACTCGATCTAAAAATAAGTCAAAATTTATTAATGAAGCTTCATCTTTGTATGAAATAATATAAATTCGTTTAAACGCATCTTACTGTTAATTCATGAACTCGTGAGGATGGTGCCTTACCAAATTTCTGTCCAATTATATCCAATTATATGATAGAAAAGTGAAAATAACTGGCCAATAGGATCGTTGATTCTATTTCCTACATTGCTACCGGTAGCTACAAGCTGCGGCTATTTGGTTATGAGCTACAGTAGTTGACAGTGAATTGTAATCCCATGCTAACGTGATCGACCATTGATCGGCCAAATGACCATCGATCGGCCAAGGTGTTTCGTCCAATTGAAATTAATACGATGTTTCATTAGACAAAATAAATCCTTGTGATAAGTTTTACCTGTATAATGTGATGGCGGCAAAAAACTTCAATTTTAAAGCGGTTTTCAGCTTTGAATTTGAAATGCCGCCAAGAACGTCCTACACGCAGGAGGCGATGGCTGTCCGAGCTGTGCTCAACAAGACACACAGTGTTTTGACCGCTGCAGAGGCACATGGTATACCCCAACGTACACTGCGCACCCATGTCGCCAAGGCAATCACGGGCGACAATCGATCGACGACGATGGGCAAGCCGCCTGTCTTGCCGAAGGAGTTCGAAGACGACTTGGCTACTTGGATTGTCGCAATGTAACACGAAGGGGTACCCGTTGGCTGTCGTCATATCGTCGACAAGGCAACCGAGATATTTTATATGGTACATGATACACCACGTGACACCAAGCTTACAAGCGGTTGGTACAAAAGATTCCTCGAACGCAATCAAGATCTTAAGATTGCGAAAGCACGAACTCTGAGCAAACCGCAAAACGGTGTCGACAACGATACCATGGTGGAGTTTTTTCATGAGCTTGCTCATTCCATGTCACTTGTTGACATGGATCCATCACGGGTCTTCAACATGGACGAGACAAGTTTTTGAACGTCCATGAAGTCAACGAAGGTGGTTGACGAACGCACGACCAAGAATGTTTACGTTCAAGAAGCTGGAAAAGCCAAAGCGCAAAAAGAAAGCTACTCAAGAGGACGTGGCGGTCTAAGTGTTGAATTCGGAAGATATCGTAGAAGTTTGTGTGATTTAGATTGATAAAAACAGTTCATACAATGTGTTTGTAGTTGTTAAAATTTGTTGCTAAGCTAGAGGATAAGAGAATTGTTAAAAAAGATGTTAAGAAAGTTGGTTTGACTCGACAATTCCCTAGGCACCGTGCCCACCTCGAAGAATGATCTTCACTGGTTAACCTTTGCCCTGACCCCACTTACTTCTTCCGTTGTAGCGAAGGCTCACGGTATGGAGGTACGGAACGAACGCAGGCACACTTGGTGGTGACGAACTTACGCCGCAGGCACCCGCAATTGGCACCAGGAGGATAATTGAAGAATGAATCAAAATCAGTTGTGCAAATACAATTGCACAACGTTGAACAATCCCTACTCGTATTGTACAACGCTGAACAATCCCTTCTCCTACAACGTTGAACAATCCCTTCTCGCATTGTTCAACGTTGAACAATACTTGCAGCTGTTACTCTCAATACTTATACCTGTTGAAATTTAGTAAACTTTTGAGTCATAGTCTTTGAATTTTTGGAGCGAAAAATTGACTCAACTTTTTTCAATACTTAATTCAAGTGTACATTTTGGCCGATCAATGGTCGACTGTGTAAAGTGCCGAACTTTGACAGTTTTTTCGCCTGCCAAGTATTGTTTAAATCGATACATTTGAATATGTCGCGAAAGAGCTTTTCGGAAATGTTTGTTTCAATGAAATGCCATGAAAACCAATTGAGATATTTTAGTTTGAGAATTTTGAAAAATTGGCCGATCAATGGTCGATCACGTTACCCGCACACTTGAGCCTGGGCGATGGTCATACAGTACAACTGGTCCTCGACTTGTCGCAACATAGGTAGTGGCGTTGTCGGCTGCTCCGGTAGAAGTTCCTGGATTTCTATTGCCCAATGCCTAATGTCTGGACAACTGCACGTCGCGGACAAGCCCATCACGGTGAACGACATATCGGTCAAACGTATACCAAGCTCCATGGATTTTGCTATGATTTGCCTCACACAGGAATACAGATCGAGCAGCTTGTTCAGTCCACCATAATGAGCACCAGTGCCGTCGTACTCAACGCCGTGGTTGCAACAGTCTTGGACTCTTGGAGGACTTTCAAGACAGAATCCCGCGAGCCGCTTGGAATGTTGAACTCCGTCTTGATTTTGTGTACCGTGCCATAGCGATCGTTCCACTCACAAGAAGGCGCGCGAAGAGCATCGATGAAGTAGACGCTCCAAGCTACTCGGCATACTTTGTACGTAAGTACCGGTCGTGGATTCGTACTCCGTGGGTTGTCACGAACCAGTTTGGCCTTCGACGCTGACTTTATTGGTCTCGCCAGGACGCTGGCGAGGGCTCATGGGTACTACACCATTTCCCGTTCAAGTTGAAATGAATTTCCAGTCAATGTGAAATGAACACGTTCGAAACTTTTCAAATCAACATGAATTCTCTAACATTCAACTTGAAACATACTTTGTTTCATATACCTATATTCTGGTGTATGATTTGGATAAAGGAGGAAGATGGGTGAGGGAGGGTAGACATGATGATTGAATCACTATTGTATACTGAAGGGTAGTATAATTCATCACCTTATGGTCACTATACTATAGTTGAAGTAAGTTTAACGTTTCATTTTGAAGTGAATATTTTTCATGTTGAGATGTGAAACTGCACTTGTGAAATCCCATGCATTTCACATTGACTGGAAATTCATTTCAATTTGAACGGGAAATGGTGTAGAAGTTTACTAGTTTCGCGCTCAGGTGCATTGTCAGGTGGTTGATGCGTGCCTTTCATCCCTTGCGCTAAGCTCTCACCCAAGGCGACAAGGCTTTGCCCAATGTCCACACGCTTAGGACGTTTTGCTCTTTGCGGCGACAGCTCCGCATCGATCACAGCCTGCCGCTTGAACTCCTTGGTTGACATGGATGCGTCGTCATTTCATTCGCTTCCACCACCGTCCGCTTAATCACCTTGACCATAGACACCGAATGCAAATCCACTCAAAAGTGGATTAGCCAATAGCGTCGATTCGTCACCAAATGTAGAAAATTCACAAGAACACTGGTACATATTGTATTGGCCACATCCTGGACATTGGATCTATATCATTGGTCTACAATTGGTTTTTGCTCCTTTTCATTGGCTCCATTATCTATGACTGCACTTATCAGGCATTTGACAATCAAAACGAAATACAATGTGCTCTTTTGAATTAATCAAGTATTCTTATCGAAATGTTGCAGCACGTCATGCACGAAAATAGGCTGTAACGTTATGTCGACGCTTTCTTGGCGGCGATTGCGCCGGGTTTACAGAATACGACGTGTTCCGCTGAAAACTTAGTGCGCAACAATAGCGTAATCGTAGACGAAGATAAACATGTAACTTACCTACATACATATAGTTTACTGAGGGCAAGATATCCACTTCATCACTCAAGGTCCATTCGATGTTGCAGCGACTTCGTAGGGGCATTGACGGACACGTTGAGTTGTGCTGCATGTATCTAAATTTATGTAGCTTTTGTCAGTTGCGTACACATCAGTTGTACCGAGTGCGGAGCCCATTCTGCGCTACAGGAATATAATTCATCTCCCACGACGATGTGAATATGGTCTTAACTGGCTAAATAGTTGGCGAAGTAGCATCATGCGCTGGACCACTTGGTCACATGTGGCCACGGCCGCGACGTTCCTTTCAACACTGTCAGTACCGTACTCGGAGAACCCCCCACAAACCCCAAACTCCGAGTCATGAAGAGCACAATACCAATCAATCAATCCCTGCAAGAAACCATCAATAATATCGATGGTTTCCAGAATCAAGTGTCTTGCACAACGTTTTGTCAATCGAACACAAAAAGTCTGTTTCCAGAGTCAAAATCCACGAAATAACTGGATTCTTGGTGCGTCCGAGCACGGCCTTATTAGTGTGCAAGGCCTTCACAATTTGAACATACTAACTTACTGTACAAAATTCACAGCCAGTACAAACAATCGATCGACAGATTTGGCGAAACTGTACGCAAATCCTACGTTTCGCTGAAAGGACAATATTAGTATTATGTAGTAGTGTACTGATACAGTCATCCTTTACTTACCACTCACCGGTCATGACCTCGGCCCCACCTGACCTTGTGAGAGATGTGGCAGAGTGTGTGTGCCAGTGTGAGTGAAGTTAACGTTAAACGTCGTCCAAATCTGGTCCAAATCAAGGTACTTACTGTTAACGACAACGTAATGGTGTATGTACATACTTCGACGTACAGTATTACTAGTTGGTTGAAGTTCCTGGTTTGGTGGCAACTCAACACCGTTCCTTCCTTGTCCTGGAACTGTATGCAAATGCAGGTCCGCTTAGAGTAAACGGAACCGCCGGTGGATTGAAGGGTGTAAACATGGGTTGGATACTGCAGTCAGTCACTTGGAACAACAAATATTCGATAACTCAGCAACACTTTCACCTTTTACCACCACCATGGCACGAATAACGCTCAGCGCAATCCCTAGCCAATGAATAATCATGTGGGGGATGACTACCAGTGGATTCTTCGCCTCATCTCAGTGTGTTTTACACCCTGAGTCAGATGGCATTGTGAGTTTCGGTGGGCCACCAACCATGATTGTGCACTTTGTATACTCTCGACCAGGTCGGTCCGGACTCCCACCTATTAGGTGGGAGTCCACTACCTTGTACTGTATGTAGTACAAGGTAGTAAGTACTACTGGAAGTACTGTAATCCTCGGAACTACTCGAATGTAAGTTATTTATCGTACAATATATATGCAACTTTAGCATAGTAAACATAATTTTACTATATTTAATTATTCAAGACAAGATGGTTCATGTATATATAGTATCGCACTACCGGATCCGTCGACTGCAATGATTGCTTGGGAATAATTTATCCGGATACCGGATACCTCTAGGAATGACCTTCGCCCGTCCAGCTCAGTTTTGAATTTCCACGGACCGGCCGATATCTCGTCTCATCATCATGTCGAGGAATACCAAGTACCAGGCCGTGAAGCTTGAGAGCACGCGCGACAAGGATGCCAAATCGCCGCTGGAGACGGAGAACTTCTTCTCCCGATGGCTATACCTGTGGGCGGACCCATTGATGAAGTTGGGGAACGAGCGTCAGCTGCAGGCGTCGGATCTGTGGCCGCTGCCGTCGGACAGCAAGTGCGAGGTGATCACCGAATCGTTTGAACCCAAGTTCAACAAGAGTCAGTCGATCTTCCGTGCTACTGTGTCTGAATTCGGCGCGCAGGCGTTGGTCGTGGGTGTGTTGCAGTTTGTCGCGATGGTGTTGTCGTTGTACGGTCCGATTGTGTTGAACAAGGTCGTGTCGTCGATCGAGTTGTCGACACCCGACTTTCAAACGCTCGCGGCGCCCGTGGTGTCGTTGTTCGTGGTGAAAATCATCCAAGCGATTCTGCAGACCCAAACGGACCTGAAGAACGAACTGTTGTTTGTCAAGGTCATGGCGGTGCTCCAGAACTTGCTTTACAAGAAGGCGCTGCGTCTCAACGCCAAGAGCCGCAAAGCCAAGAGCACGGGCGAAGTGTCCAACTTGTTCACGTCCGACATGTGGCCGATCGTGGCCGTGTCGTTCTTTATCAACCAAGTGTGGATCATCCCGCTCCAAGTTACGGCGCTCATGTACCTTCTGTGGCAGCAACTGGACTGGGCCATGTTTTCCGGCATCGGCGTCATGATTGTCGCGTTCTTCCTCACGCGGTGGTTTGCCACCATGCAGCGCACCAACTGGCGCGTGCTCATGGCCAAGAAGGATACGCGCATGAAGACCATCAACGAAGTGTTTGGGTCCATGCAGATCATCAAGTTGAACGCATGGGAAGAGCGCTACTACGCCAAGATCAGCGACTTGCGCGCCGACGAACTGCGGTCGCTATGGACGCAATTCTGCATCGGCGCCGGTACCACGGCCATGAACAACATTGCACCCGTGGCGCTCACGACCATTTCATTTGCATGCTACGTGCTCGTGCTCAAGCAACCGTTGACCGCGTCCAAGGTCTTTACCGCGCTGTCCTTGTTCAATATGGTCAAGCAGCCCATGATGCGGCTGCCCCAGATCGTCGCTGCGTTCATGCAAGCCGCGGTCTCGTACAAACGATTTGCCGAGTTTTTGGCGTTGGCCGAGCGCGACCCATCGGTTGTCTCGTCGCATGTTGTGTCGGGTAACGACATTGCCGTTGAAGTGATCGACGGGTCGTTTGGGTGGGACGAATCAAACCCGTTCTTCACCAACTTGAACTTGACCATCCGGCGCGGCGAGTTTGCAGTTGTCCACGGCAGTGTTGGCGAAGGCAAGACGTCACTGTGCAATGTTCTGCTTGGCGAGCTCGACAAGTACGCGGGATCTGTGGGCGTCCGCGGCCGCGTGGCGTACTTTGGCCAGCAGCCATGGATTCAAAACATGTCGATTCGAGAAAACATTCTGTTTGGGCTGCCATACGATCGCGTGAAATACTCGCGGGTGCTCGAAGCATGCGCATTGGCGACAGACTTGACGCTATTTGCCGCGGGTGACCGCACAGAGATCGGGTCCAAGGGCGTGAACGTGTCTGGCGGCCAAAAGGCGCGCATCAGCCTCGCGCGCGCTTGTTATAGCGACGCCGACATCTACGTGTTGGACTCGCCCTTGTCAGCCGTGGACGCGATCGTTCAAAACGAGATTTTCACCAAGTGTTTTCTCGGCCTCCTCCGCAACAAGACCCTCGTTCTGGTCACCCACTCGCCTGAAATCATTGCGTCGCCATATATTGATCGAACGATTGAAGTCGGCAATGGCGGGAAGACCCTCACGGTGACCATGAACCCCAATAAAAAAGATTGCGATGCGTTGGTGCCACCGTACCCCACACGCTCGTACAGTGTCGCAGACGATGATGATAGTTCGATGGACATACTCGACAACATTGGCACGGGCGGTGCAAACTCGACGCTGCAGTACATGGACATGCTCGTGTCGCCGTCGCTCAAGTCGCCGTTTGGCGCGACCGTGGAAGACCATTTGTTTACACCGATGGATGCGCAGGCGCCGCTGCCGCCCACGTACAACGAAGAGGATGGTACTGGTAGCCGCGGCCAGCTCGTCGTGGCCGAAGAACGCGAGTCGGGACGGGTGTCTCAGAAAGTGTTTTTAGCGTACTTTGATGCCGTGGGCGGGTGGACGACGGTCGTGGCGCTGCTGGCCGTGCAAAGTTTATGGCAAGGACTTCAAGTGTCGAGCGATTTGTGGCTGAGCGCATGGACGGCCACGGGCGCGACGGTCACACCAGCTGAGTTTCAAGACGGGGCCGAGTTTCACATTTCCGTGTACGCGGCGCTGGCGATCGGGTCGTCCATCATGGTCGTCGTGCGCGTGCTCACCGTGTCCGTAGCCGGCATCCGCGCATCCCAAACCATGTTTGACGACATGACCAAGGCCTTGCTGGGCGCGCCCATGGTGTTCTTCGACACGAATCCCCTCGGGCGCATCCTGAATCGGTTCTCAGGCGACATTAACGCCGTGGATGGCCGACTGCCCAACCAGTTTGGGTTTTTCCTCTCAACGGTGTTTGTGCTGCTGTTTTCATTGGGCACAACCGTCGCTGTGATCCGGTCCCTGGGGGTGATCCTCCTTCCGCTCATGTACATTTACTACAAAGTCGCGTCGATCTTTGTCCAACCGGCGCGGGAAATTGAACGACTCAACAAAACCACGCGGTCGCCGTTGATTACCCACATTTCCGAAAGCATCGACGGCGCCGTGGTCGTCCGCGCGTTTGGCGGCAAGCACGTTCGTCGATTTGAACGGCTCCAACAGACCAAAGTGAACCGGAATATGGAGACCATGTTCTGTGGCGAGCTCGCGTCGCAGTGGTTTTCGTTTCGCATTCAAATGATCTCGGCGTTGATGCTGCTGGTCACGACCATGTCGCTGATTTACATGCGCGCGTACTTGAACGCTGGCCTTGTGGGGCTCGTGTTTGGCTACGCGCTGCAAATCACCGGCCAGCTCGAGTGGATGGTCCAGATGTGGTCGCAGCTCGAGACGGCGATGGTCGCGCCTGAACGCGTCGCAGAGTACACCAACGTCGCGCAGGAGGCGCCGCGGGTGATTTCCGGCGCCGTGCCCGCGTCGTGGCCCGCCCATGGATCGATCGAGTTCCAACACGTGAGCTTCCGATACAAGCCTCACGACCCACTCGTGCTCAAAGACGTGAGTTTTCACATCGAGTCGGGGGAAAAGGTGGGTATCGTCGGGCGGACAGGTGCCGGCAAGTCGAGTTTGACCATGGCGCTGTTCCGGATCAACGAAGTGGCGTCCGGCCGCGTGGTCATTGGCGGCGTCGACACTGCCACCGTCGGCATCAAGACCCTCCGCGAAACCATGGCCATCATTCCGCAAAATCCCATCTTGTTCAAGGGAACCCTCCGCGCGTACTTGGACCCGTTCGAGTCGTCTTCCGACGCCCAGCTGTGGGACGCCCTCGACAAGGTCCAGCTCACGCCGCGCGTGTCCCTCGAACAGGGCAAACTCGAGGCAGTGATTGAAGAAAACGGAGAAAACTTTAGCGTCGGCGAGCGGCAGATGCTGTGCATGGCCCGCGCACTGCTGCGCAACTGCCGCATCGTGGTCATGGACGAAGCCACCGCCGCTATCGACCACGAGACGGACCAAACCCTCCAGCGAGTGATCCGCCAAGCGTTTGCCTCGTCCACCGTGCTCACGATCGCCCATCGACTCGATACCGTCCTCGATGCCGATCGCATCATGGTGTTGGACCAAGGACGACTCGCGCAATGCGATGCGCCAGAGAACCTCATACGTGCTGGCGCCGGTATCTTCTTTGAACTGTGCAGCGAAGGCGGGTACCTGGATAAGGTCCATGCGTCGGTGGCGGCGACTGCCACCACGAGTCAAGAAAGCCACGATGACAACCAAGACTAGGTAGAGGATAATCGACATAAATATATAAATATAAATTGATATATATATATTTGTTTGGACGCTATGGAAGACCACGATATCCCTCTCGAGTGGTATGTTTTTGTGATAAAGCTGTCAAAGCTCAAGGTATAACCTGGTACGGGAGCTTCACCATACATACTAAACGTCCAACGGATCGGATTATTATTCATAGTAGTACAATAGTACTGTATTAATAGTAACCGCGACTTGTACATATATTATTTGGTGCAAAACTTTTTTATTTTGTTGTACTAATACCAATGTTAGTAACACCAAGCCGCATAGTAACGTTATACTGTATTAATATTTGGGAAAACGAAAATATTTTATATTTAGCGTTGGTATCTACAGTATTAATACTCCGAGTAGTACTATACAGTATTGTGCTTTGGACCTTTTTTGGCAATTCCAGGGTTAAATTCATTGTTTAAAAATTTCTCAGGCTTAAATAATGTCTAAAGTAACTTGAATAACGGTTGGGTGCGTTGTTTAAAGTTACTTCATCTAATGCGATGATTGGTTGGTTGAAGGTGGTTTTACTGGCACTTTCGTAAAACAAGTTGTTTGCCGTTTTCATTCTGGCAAGCAACTCATTTTACGTCAACACGTCAAGGTGCTTGCCGCAATGCAATCAAACTGAAGCACCTACATATGGCCACATACATGACCTCCCTTCCGTGATCACAACAAACATTAACTACTCTGGGTAATTTATAACGTTAGGGATATAGTTAGGCTAGAAGTCGCTCTGTCCAATGATTCAAAGCTATGCCATACCTTCAACTCTTGATCTGCTCTAACCTTAGCACTGTACGTGGAAGGCAAGGGCGCACTACAACTACACGATGTATAGTACTCCCATTTCACATCCTAATACGGTATGCATCGTGATGAACTGGTGGTTGTACGGCCTAAGTTGGTCTGGTACTGCAACTCGATTAGTTAGCAACTGAAATAAAGTAAGGGTTGTTTTATTCTGCTGAAATGCAGAACTTGTGTTTAGCGTTGTTTTATCTTCAATCGGGTTTATATTATTTTAAACGTCTGGTTGTTTAACGCAGTTAAACAACGGGCAAACTACATGAAAAGCACAATATGTAGTAATATACTAATAGTTTCAACCAAGCCGACCAGTATCCGGTAACGTGGTAATTTTTTAGTATATATTCCTTTGGATTTGCTTCCCAAAGGGATGGTGAAAATACTATTAACGTTACTCCGGAGTAAGGTTGGTACGTACTATGGCCGACGTCGACCTGTCAAGTTGAGAAGTCGATTTCGACTCATCCTGCCCCAAATTGCCACCTATTAGCAAGGTTCTTTAGAAGTTTTTGCATTTTTAGCTTCAGCAAGTTTCCTCGCAGTCGTAGAAGTATACATAGTACTACGTAGTAGATAGAATAATGGTCACGTTAACAGTGTAAATAGTTGGATCCGTGATAACTGTAGTGGACTAGGACTTTGTCGCAGCGGGTTTGGGTTTCGCCGCGGCTGACGGGTCGAAAAACGTGCGCATTGTGGCTTCAACAGCCATGGCCGATGGGACTGTCGACGACACGGCGAAGGTTTGGCACACCTTGAGCAGATTGGTCAGGTAGTGGTCTAACTCGCAGCACATGCTCTTGACCACTAGCGCATTCGTCTGTCGAAATAGCGGTCGTTTCGGGCACTGCAGCGCAGCCAAGGACGCTATGAAGGCGGCGTCGTCCGTGGATTGAGCCAAGTGGCGATGGAGTTGGACTACATCACGCAGCGTGCATTGCAGTTGCCACGATCGCCGGCTCGGCATGGTCACTTTGAGGAGAAACACGACGTGCGTGGAAGAGAAAGGCACGAAGGACCGCCGACTTCTGCGGATGCTCGTGCCTTGGATGGTGCAGCTGAGGTCTGAGAACGACGTTTGACGGGCGACTGCGAGGCGCTTGAGGGTGGTGGTTGTCATGGCGTGGTAAAAGGTCGAATATGAAATTTACCTTAACAGTATGTGAAATTCGCATGCATTCGTCGAATACAAACATTCCTGTGAACTTGTAGAATATAAACGCACTACGTTAAGCATTCTGATTGGCAGATGATTAGCCTGGAATTGTTTTGGACAGGCCATCAGAATTTCACGGTTCACACTCGCACCGTTAGTATTATAACCCCGGGTCCTGCAATTCAGTGTGATAAGATCGAGCGCTACCAAGGTACCCTGGAGTCTAAACAGAGTGGACGACATAACGACTAGAACATATCTTTCAGTTGAATTAATCATGTGTACACATATAACCGCTGAATTCCTGATTCTCACAGTCAAGATTGTTTTCAATTTTTTTTACTTGTTCATGGAATTCGCAAGATGAGCTACGTTGCTTCCTGTTAATATTCAATAAGAGTCCAACACACCTTGTTTCTTGCATACGATTGGTTATAACAGTAGAGGTCACACACAATGTTGAGCTTAACGTTGCTTGGACGCTTGAATTGTGTGAAGCTTCGTGTGACCCTCTGGAGAATTGTGTCACGGATGAGTTTATCCCGACTATTTCCAATGTGGTTTTCCCCCGCAGCTAACATTATGCTGCGCACTCGGTTGGGTCGGTCGCAATGCCATGGCGGCTCTGGTGGGCCAACGCGGTGGCGCAAGACATCTTGCTAGCACCCATCGCAAGTGCTAAAGATGCCAATTCAGCACTTGCGACGGGTGCCACCAAGACGGCTTGCGCTACCGCTCGCACAACATATGAACACACGGCAGGGGTGGTGAATAGCACCGACAAGGGCTGGATGACGAAGCGAGGGATGACCACATGTGTTGGCGTTTGTCAAAGTGGCAGATTTCGCGGGTGACGTTTGTCTGCTCTCCGTTGGCGAGCCCACGACGGCGATGGTGATGTCTTGCCTCAACAACCATCACAGTCCCCGATCCGTGTAGAATGTATCGCATGATGAGTCTACATACTATTAATACCTCGAAGTAGTAAGCAATTCTCGTGATTTCACGGCATCTGATTGGACAAATTGGACGACACCTTGCGCAGCATAACGTTAACATTAACGAGGATCAATTTAAGACGTATGACTCAATTTAAGATCAATGTGCAAGAACCGATCAAACGGCGCGAAAATATTTGAAGAATGCCTTTGCAAATAATTATCCTCTCCCGAAGAGAATGCATGTGGGCGAATTTATAAGAGAATCTCCACCGCGACCGTAAGTTAGAACAACTCGTGCAAACGGATTGGGTCCCTCTATAATCAAGTCCACCAAGTACAAACTTTGTAAGCAAATAAGTATACTTGGATCAAAATAACACGATACTACGTATTGTCGATTTGATACAAATTTGGGGAAGGGGTGCAATCGAATCACGCCGACCAAACCGATCCACAATCGATCTGATTGGTTGAATTTCATTGAGAAGGTTTTGATTGGCTAATAATTTTGAGCTCATCTGAGGTAGCCAATCAAATCGATTTAAATTCCAACGAGAAACCACGCCACAACACGAAATTTCACACGAAAGCACAATAGTACTATGTCAATTCTCAAAATGGTATCGAATTTGCTTGTTTTCTCATGCATCACGACTGCAAAAAACAGTATATTCGGTACTATTAATAGGATGTGGTTGTAAAGCATTCTTTCAGCTACAATCTCAAAGTTTCAGAGGTCGAAAATGTTACCTGACATGTGTGAGCGTGATGATTTGAAAGTTGTTCTCCCGAGCCGCCTTCGACAAATGTTTCCGAACTGTAAATTAATTTTTTACGTATTTCACCTTACTTTTTCCTGATATTTATACTAACGTTATTAATATATTGTGCTTTCGAGTGAATTTTCATTGTGTTGTGGCGTGGTTTCTCGTTGGAATTTAAATCGATTTGATTGGCTACCTCAGATGAGCTCAAAATTATTAGCCAATCAAAACCTTCTCAATGAAATTCAACCAATCAGATCGGTTTGGTCGGCACGATTCGATTGCACCCCTTCCCCAAATTTGGATCAAATCGACAATAGTACTAACTTGTTAATTCAGCAACAACGACGACCATTGATTTGATTGGATCATAAACTAATACATTCGACCAATCGCATCGTTGTTTCGCGATTTGCTACCACTTCATTGGCCCAAACAGAAAAACGCAAAGAACCAAGGGTTTATTCTAAGTCGTCATCGATGGCCTTTGAACCACCTGCAGCAGCCTTCTTGGCCTTCTTCTTGTTCTTCTTCTTCAAGGACGAGCTCAAGACGGCGGCGAGTTCGGGCGTGAGCACCTTATCCGACTTAACGCGGTCTACGGGCAGTGGCAGGCCCGTGATCTTGGTCGTGCCGTTGGGCAGGAGCAGCACAGTCGCCTTGAAGTGCGCGATGTGATCGCCGCTGCGGCCTTCCAGGACCGGGAACGGGGTCAGCAGGTCATGCTTGACGCACTCGCTCACACCCAGACGGGATTGGGACTCGTCGTCGAAGGCGCGGATCGTGAACGGAAGGGTGGGGAACTTCGAGTTGATTTCGGAAAACACGTAGCGGCTGGCCTTCATCTTGAGGCGGTAGCTCTTGTCGACTTGGCGCTTGAACACGGTGGTGCGGCGCTCGGATTGGACGGGCTTCTCCAAGCCCGTGGTGAACGCGACGTCGATCGCGTACACTTCGTTCACGTCAAACGTGGCGCGCGCGGCCTTGGTTTCCGGGTCGTTCTTGGCGGCGATGGTCTTGCTGCCGTCGATCACGAAGCGCTTGAGTTGATGCATGAGCGTGCCCGACACGGCCTTGACGCCATACGCGGCGGCCAACGCTTCCAACGCTTCCGTCACTTGGGCGTTGGTGTTGCCCGGCTTGATCAAGCGCGCGCACAGTTCCACGGCATCGTGCCCAGCCTTGAGCACATCGGCTTGGGCGCCAAGCACAATGTTGTCCGACGCTTCCGCGTCCGGAACGATCACGGTGTGCGCGACCACGGCAATGTAGCCGTCGATGTGGCACCCCAAGTCGATCTTGACCCAGTCGCCCGCCTTCAACGTGACGGATTCGCTGGGAAGGGGGGAGAAGTGGCACACGACTTCGTTCACGCTCAAGCACGTGGGGAAGGCAATGCCCTTCTCGACCTTCTTGCTCTTGTACACGGTACCAGCACGGGCAGCGATCAACGCATCCCCGAACGTCGCCACTTCGACGACGGTCTTGCCAGGGAGCAGCTGCGCAATGACGCCTTCCAAGGCGGACTGCGCGATCTCGGCGGCCAGACGGTACTTGGTCACCACGTCAGTGTTGCTGCAGTCTTCCACCACCGGGGCTTCGGCGGCCTTGGTCTCATGTTCATCCACGTCGCTCATGCTTCTTCAAGTAAGTTGCGTTTTGAGGAACCTGGTGGTTTCGACTTGCACCATACTAAACCCAAGCTTATACTTTTGCTCTGGTTTCAACCACTCTTTTTGTCGGTGGATTGAATTGGAAACGTCGTACTACATCATTGTATACAAGATACAATTTTCGGAATTAAATTGTACTGCGTCCACACTATCCGGATAATCCGGCCTCCGTTGGTTTTTAGTATCAAAATGCGTTTATGGTTTAACGTCGTGTTATTATGGCGCCAATTGAACGTTCTTTGAACATGCTATAATGGTGTGAGTGAAGGGTGTCAAATCAAAAGAGTTTTGATAAGACATCACTGATAAAACGTGCTTGCTAGCAAAGGAACAACGCATTGGATATATATGTATGTATACGTATGTGGCTTGTGATGGTCTTGTTGTGACTCGATGGGAGAGGAATGAGAAAAAACGTAGTGTAAAATACCGCTAATTCCAACAAATAATGCGTTTAATAGGATATAACGTGCCTGCCCTTTCTTTTTTCAACTTGTTTACCGGATGACGACTTTGGATTCTTTTGAGTCAGTCCTCGATCGAATCGATTGTCATGCACCTCCGTCGCGTGGTTAACCTCAGCCGCTCCAGCATCCTTGGCCGCCGGTGGAACCATTCCTTGGTGTCGCCGGAATGGGTGGTCGACACGAAAACTAAACTAAGCGTATTGGACTGTGGCTCCCTCGATGGCTACCACCGGGGACATGTGCCTAACGCGCTGCACTTTGGCTTGCCGTCCAAGGTAGAGAAAGAATCCTAGATCCCCATCATCACAAGCAAGTTGGACTTAGCGCACATGGTTATACTAGGACCCAAAGGATCCGTTCCACATCATCTCGGAAAACTACTACCGATCGTACTTGGAGAAACTTCCCGTCGACGAAGACACCACCCTCGTCTTCTACGACGACTCGAACCACTTGGTACACGACACCCTTGCTCACCTATCCAATGTTCAATCACTGTACTTGCAGTCATTAAGAGGAGCTATCATTGCAACACAATGGGCTTAACATTTGTAGCAAGCTACCCGTGCATGGTGGGTGAGCCGGTATTACGGGTTCCCAAAGGATCAAATCAAGGTAATAACCATGATCATGCGGTGCTGATGTAGGTGTTGAAATAGTATCGGAATCAACTATCTCTTCGAAAATTTTTTTTATTATATTTATGTGATGTACCATAATATTTTTACCTATTATTTTTTTAATTTCTAAGGATTAAAATCACATTCATACGCAGTTAATTTTTCGAAAAGCTAAATCTATATGAGGGGTATAATGCAACGGTTATTTACCTATTATTTTTTTAATTGGTTTTATTTTTTTTATAGAAGCTTTTCTTATTTTTAGTAAATCTTTTACTTCTTATCAATTTTTTGTTCAAAAAAATCATGAAATGTTAACTTACCAATATATATCTGCCATGTATGGAATCCAAATAAATATCTATATCCAACAAAAATATATCTTTCCATTTTGATTGTTCCATCAACCTAGATCCTCAATGGTGGGTTCCGTTACTGGGTCGAAAACGACTTTGAAGTGTCGTGCTCGGCCCCGTCGCCGCCGTCGCCATCTTCCTCCCGTCCTACGTACGCACCACAGTCCACACCTCAACCATCCATCCCCTCACATGAGGTTTCCTGCTTGCAGCATCAAGAAGGATGCTTCCCGCGTCATCTCGTTGGATGAATTGAAGGCGCTCGTTGTGGCGGGCGCTGACACTGACGTGCAGTTCTTGGACACGCGCTCCTCTGACGAATACACGGGTGCGGCGGCCCATGGCAACGCCCGACCCGGTCATGTGCCTCGCGCACTGCACCTTGAGTGGTCCGACACGCTTCAACCCAACGGGCAGTTCAAATCCACGGACGAACTGATCGCGCTCGTGGCGGCCGCCGGCCTCTCCGCCGACCAGCCCGTCGTCACGTACTGCCAGCGCGGCATCCGGGCGGCCCACACGGCGTACGTGCTCGAAGAGCTCTTGGGGTTTCCTGCCGTCCGCGTCTACGAAGCGTCCATGCTGGAGTACTTGAACCAGCCGGATACCAAGGTCGAAAAATAGTAATTTCCATCGCAAGTAGATCTAGACGAACCGTCGCATCCGGTTAATATCCGAAATTCACGCTTCTCTGATTGGTCCATTCCGTGTTGCTCTACATTGAAATTGCAGAAGTCCAGAGTGGAAGTCACCACCAGCAACATGCAGTTGATCTTTGATGGACCGTTTGCTGGCCCCCCTAAACCAGCGCCAAGCACACCACAGTGTCACTACTGTAGCGGCTCGAGACTAAACATGAACGCCGACGATGCTTGCGGGGTATGCAAGCGTCCTGAGATCCCAGCTTGGTTGGCCGTGCCAAAGGTACTGTACAGCACTGTACAGCACCAGTATGCACCATCTTAGCAAAGACAGCAATCGTCTGACATTATAAGTGGACGGCTAGGTGCATGTGGGCATGAGATTTATCCTGCGCGGGGCTGTATCCACGTTTGTGGTGCGTACAGTGTCACATTTGCGAGATGAATATCGTGGGTTAGGGTGTGGTCACTGGTATCAACGTATTGAAGCGAACTGTGGATGTGGTCACTGCCAGCAAGTCCACAGCAACGTCACGGCATCCCACGTTTACCAAAAGGGAATTGAGTGCATCTGCGTTACAGTCCAACATGCACGGATTGCCGCTGGAAAGCCACTGGCATGCGACGTGGGATGCGTATGGCTTTTGCCAGCACTGTGGCCTTACGTACCACGTACATCGCATCCCGAACCAGCCCACAATGATGGTTCGTCTTCATCGCATTATATTGTCCTTTTA